TATGTACCTGGATGGTGGGGGAGAAGAGGAAGGGGATCTAACCTGCAACCTTTCAGGTTCAGGACAATGCTCCAACCAACTGAGCCACACAGACCAGGCCCCCTGCTTTCATTCTTTTTGAGTGTATATCTAGGAGTGGAATTGCTGGATCATATGCTAATTCTTTATTTAACTTTTTGAGGTCCTGCCAAACAGTTCTTTTTTTTAAGTCAGGTTTATTAAGGAATCATTTACATACAGTAAAATTCACTCTTTAGGTGCACTGTGCTATGACTTTTGTCCAACAGATGCAGTCATGTAACTACCACCACAATCAAGAAACCACCCCAGGGCCCTGGCTGGTGTAGCTCAGTGGATTGAACTCAGGCCCGCGAACCAAAGGATCATGGTTCAATTCCTAGTCAGGGCACATGCTTGGGTTGCAGGCCAGTTCCCAGCAGGGGACACATGAGAGGCAACCATACATTGACATTTCTCTCTCTCTCTTCTTCCCTTCCCCTCTAAAGATAAATAAATAAAATCTTTTTAAAAAATAAAAGAAATTTAAAATTTTTTAAATAAAATCTTAAAAAAAGAAAAAAGAAACCACCCCAGAAAACCCCTGCATGCTCTTTGTAGTCCCTTCCTAACTCTTACCCCTAGGCCCTGGCACTGCTCATCTGATTTGTTTCCACAGTTTGACTTTTCCAGAATGTCCAATAATGGAATCATTAGAACCTGGCTTCTTTCTTTCAACACAATTGATTTGAGATTCGTCCATGGCAGTGCATCAATAACTTGCTCCTTGTTATTGCTGGGTACTATTTGACTGTATTTATCCATGCACCAGTTAATGGATATTTGGTTTGTTTCTGCTTTTGACAATGATAAATTATGCTGATATAAGCATTTGCATACAGCTCTTTGTGCAGACATACATTTTTATTCATCTGGGTAAATACCTCAGAGTGGGATTGCTGGCTCATACAGTAAATGTATGTTCAACTATTCTGAACTGCCTGTTTGTTTTCCAAAGCAGCTGTACATTTTTGCATTCCTACCAGCACGCATGAGAGTTCCAGTCATTCTGTATCCGGTATAACATTTGATATTGTCAATTTGTTTACTTTTATGTTAGCCATTTTAATATGTATGTGGTGTGGTATCTCATTATAATTTTAATTTTTCACATACCTAATGGCTAATGATGTTGAACTTTTTTTCCATATGCTTACTTACCATCTTTTTCTCTTACCTGGTGAAGTATCTGTTCAAATCTCTTGCCCATTTTCAAATGGGCTGTTTTTTTTATTATTGAGCGTGAGAGTATATATAGCAGAGAGTATTTGTGTATGATGTTTATAAATGTATAATGCATATACACCAAAATGGAAGATTTTAAAATGCTAATAGTGCTTTAATATGTTTGAAGATTTTATTTATTTATTTTTAGAGAGAGGGGAAGGGAGAGAGTAGGAGAGAAAAATCAATGTCTGGCTGCCTCCTGCGCACCCCTAACTGGGGACCTGCCTGCAACCCAGGCATGTGTCCTGACTGGGAATCAAACCAAAGACCCTCTGGTTCACAGGCTGGCACTTAATCCACTGAGCCACACCAGCCAGGGCTTAATATTTTTCTTACTCATATTTAAATATATATTTTATGTCATCTGGATACAAATCTTTTATCAGATGTGTTTTGCAGTATTTTCCTCCAGTCTGTCTTGTTTTTTTATTTTCTTAACAGTGTGTCTTCAAGAACAGAAGTTTTATTTTAATGAGTGTAATTTATAAATTTTTTCTTTTATGGTTCATACTTATATGTGTCTTATTTATGAAATTTTTTGTCCAACCTTAAGTTTCAAATATTTTCTCCTACATTTTATAATAGAAGAGTTATAGTTTTAGGTTTGTACTTAGGTCTCTGATTTATTTCAAGTTCATTTCTGTACATGGTACACAGTATGGATCATGGTACCAGCACAATTTGTTGAAATGAGACTGTTCTTAATGCCATTGTATTGTATAAAATAGTTCTTTGTGCCAAAGTCTGGTGAGGCATGGAGTACACAGGTCACATACTTGTACTATTCTTTATAGTTTAAACATACTTTTGATTATATAATGTCATTTGACTCACAGTCAACCGTGTGAGGCAGGAATAAAACTGATATTCCTCCTATTTTACAGATGAAGAAGCCCAGGTAAGCTAGCACTTGGCCAAGGGACAAAGCTTTTAGTGTTATCGTCAATATGTTAATGACCTTCAATAAACATTGAGGTGACTTTTCCAAGATCCAAGTTATTTACATAAATATGTCCAGCACCTAGGATCACTGAAACTACAAGTCAATACTCACTACTTAATTTTGAACTTACTAGTCTTCGAAAACTGGAAAGGCTAAGAGATTTGGTGCAACTGGGATCCAAGAGGATGGTCATTTAGACTAACCATGAGAAATGGTCACACGTCTCAACCCTGCTGTGTGAACTGGCCATGGACATGCAAACTTCATCCAGTAAAAGTGTAAGGAGAAATCTTTAGACTATTCCTGAGCTTCAACAAGAAAAATTCTATTACTAAATAGTCCAAATATCCAAAGAATAAACTGATTTGGTTTATGTGCTTGGTCATTTCTGCAACCCATTAGCCACCCTCCTTTCTCTGGGAAGCACACCCACATGTCACACCATTGGAGTGGGCTCTAGGGAGCCATTCTGCTACCACCTGGCTGCTGCCCTGGCCATGGCTGTTCATAGCAGAAGTGGACATGTTGTCCAGGTTGATGATGAGATTGTTTCCTTGGGGAGTTTAGAATTGGAATAAAACGGATGATCTATCTGCAGTTGACTGGAATTTTAACACGTGAATTGGGAGTTATACAGCTGTCATATTCTGCCTGTCAAATGGATCAGAGGAGAAAAGAAGCAGATTTGAAGAGAGCAAAGGAATGAAGCAGGGAGAGAGAAGCAGGGATTCAAGATTTTGCTTCTCTATTCTTGGTTCCAGACCTTTTCAGTGGCCTTGCTTCATACCTGGCCTGTGGAGCTGTGCAAGCACTTCTCTCTCCTTTAAGAATTGTATCTTCCCTCCCTCCTTTTTAAGCTAGCTCAAGTGAGTTTTTGTTACAACCAAAGAGTCCTAACTAATATAATAGAGGTAAATTGACTTATTGTGGAGTAGAAAGACTTGAAATCCCTTATTGGGATTTCAAAAGAGAGCTGACTTTTTGGTTCTGTAACTAGGAGACAAAAATTTCTCCCCTTTCATTTTTTGTAAAATAAATTGCATGAAAGGTTTAGGCCAGCTGAGTGAACATCAGCTTGGACAATGAGAACAAGGGGGAGTATTATCCGGGTTAGTCTACGATTTCTTTCCAACTGGGAAGGAGCAGGAAGGAAGAAGATGGAGAAAAGAAACTTAGGTAAAAGGGAAGCCAGTTCAGGATGAAAGGATAAGTCTGACATGGACTAGTGCCCAGAAAAATGTTATACATTCACATGTGGAGACTCCTTCACTTTTGGATTAAAAAAAATACTGATCAGGTGCCAGGTATTGTTTTGTTAATTAGGTAATCTCCACATGATAATCTTCTGACACATTTCCAGCCATTTCTCTGGAGCAGCCCTGTGAAATCTCAACTCTCTCTTTACAAACAGGATTAAATACGATGGCCTGTGTTCTCCTCCTCACCCAGAGTCTGTTTCTTTGCCATTCACTGTGATGAGCAGAATGAATGATGCACAAAGGCTGGTAGGACAATGGGGTGATTCATGGTTTGGGAAAATAGGGAATTGTCTCAGAGAGAACACTGGCCCTCCTTTTTGCTGGGGGCACTACAGTGTTTAGCTGAAAGCATCTTGTTTGGATTTGTCCAACCGGTGGATAAACATCTAAATGACAAGAGCACTATGGGGTTCACAAGGTCCCTGGGGTGCTTAAAAGAATCCTGAGAAATGCTGGCAGAGCTTGTGCTCTTTATAAACAAACAGAGAGAGGTTATTCAAACAGCTGTTAATTTCATTAAGAAGCCTCATTTCAAGGTCCCAGAGCAGGCATTTCTTTTTATGTCAGGATTATCTCTGAGTTTTATATTTGCATCTACTCCTGGTAGCTTAGTTGGGATGTTAGGTGCTAAGCTTACATTTGGATGGGTGTTTTGGCTTGGGCTTCAAAAAAGTATTTATCTTTAGAGCAGACTAAATTTGACCAAAATAAATCTGATGGGTAATTTAGGGCTAATTATGTATTTTTTGTTGGGATCATATTGTACATACTATTTTGTGATCTTTTCAATTGAGCGCTATGATATGAAAATACTAATTTGTCAACAAATTTTAACCTACAATATCACTTCTAATGAATGTGTTGTAACTGTGAATGAACGATCATTTAACCAGTCCCTTGTTAGATTGTTTTTAAGTTTTCAAGCTATACTTAGGTTGTTTTTAATTTTTCATAGCTATAAACCATGCTTCAGTAAAAATTGTTGTAGTTAAATCTGTGCGTTTTCTTATTTCCCTAGAAAAAATCGTGGGTTTTGATTTCTGGTTCAGAAGAGATGCATATTTTTAATGTTTTTGACTTTTGCTGAGAAACTGCTATTCAGAGTACAATTTATACTTCCTATAGGTACGAAAGTGCTTTCCTTCACACACACCTGGCTTTTCAATCAAAACTTAATTTTCTTGGTTTCTTAAGTTAATTTTCCTTGTTTTTCCAGGTAAGTGATCATATACCATATTTTTCTTACTGTAAGATGCACTCTCCCCCAAATTTTGGAGGGAAAGGGGAGTGCATCTTATCGTCTGAATGCAGCTTACCTGGCTTGCTGTGGGGGTGGGCAGCGGTGGAGCAGGGTCACAGGTTATTAAATATTTTACCACATTTTTTTGCTTCAAATTTTTTTTCTATTTTCCTCCTCTAAAACCTAGATGCGTCTTATGGTCCTGTGCCTTTTACAGTCCTAAAAATACAGTAAGCTACAAATAATGACTTTCAGTTTTTGTTTCATTTACCAGATGAACAAAAATTGCAAGAATTTATAATATTTCATTGTTGGTGTGGATATGGATAAATGGATGTTATCAAACCCTGTGAGCGTAAATTGGTAAATATTTTTGAAGGATAATTTGAGAGTATCTGTGACAAATTTTAAATTGCATACCCTTTGACCTAGCTATTTCAATTCTAAAAGAGTCCTTTACAGGTGAATGAAGATATATGAATAAAAGTATTCATTGAAGCACTTTGTTTTAATAGCAAAATAAAATTTAAAACAACTTAAAATTCATCAGTAGGGTGTAGTGAACTAAATTATGGTACATTTATGCTATGAAACACTGCATGGCCATTGAAGAGAACAAAGTAGATCTCCAGTACCAGTGTGAAAATTGGTCTATGCTGGTCTGTTTTGTTAATTTTAGAAAATGTTTTGCAGGATAATAATACATTATGATCCCAGTTTTATTTTTTCAAAATCAAAGTATATACACTCAGAAATATATATGCCTGAATATACATAGACAACTTTTTGTGGAAAGTGATTACCTCTGAGTAATAGAATTGAGAGAATAATGGGAAATGTTTCCTTTTTATTTTATATATTTTAAAATATTTGAATAAGCATTTTTTTCCTAAAGAGTATATTTCTTTTTAGAGGGAGGGGAGGGGATGGAGAAAGAAAGATTTTATTTCTTTTTACAAGGAGGTAAGGGGAGTAAGACAGGGGGAGAGAAACATCAATCTGTTGCCTCACACATTCCCCCAACTGGGGACCTAGCCCACACCCCAGGCATGTGCCCTGACTGGGAATCGAACCACTGACCTTTCAGTTCACAGGCCATTGCTCAATCCCCTGAGCCATGCCAGCCAGGCAACATTTATTCTTCCAAAAATGGGAAAAATAATTTGTTTCTTTTTCCCTATTTTAAAATATATTTTATTTAGTTTTCTTAATCATTAGCTTAGAATTTTAAAAACAGTTGTAACTAAGATAGTAATAGATGATATCCTTGTCTTGGTCCTGACTGTAATATTAATGTCTTTAATATTTTACAATTAATATTGGCTTTTGGTTCTTTCCTATCTTTATTTCTTGTCTCTGCCATTTTCCCTGCACGAGGCTCATTTCTAATACCGGGATTTGTATGGACTGGAGTCACAGGGAGCTCTGACCTCAACTGATAGGGAGAGAACAAGAATACATTTTACTTCTAGCAAAATTTACATAACATAGGGATTCAAAAGTAAATAGTGTAAGTTGGCAGTGTAGGCAGACATGGCTCTTCACACAATCACATCAAAATTACAACTAAAATATAGAACAAGTACCACTCAGAACCATCAGAAATCAAGTTGAGTGGAAGTCTGACAACTACGGAATTAAAGAAATCACCTACATCCAGATGCAGAATGGGCTGGTCCCTCACCCATGTATTGTGGATAAATATTCAGGAGGGTATCTCAGGAGTGAGCAGGCCCACCCCTACACCAGGCCCCAGAGCCCAGGGTTTTAGTGCCAGGAAGATATGTCACCACAACTTCTGCCTGTAAACACCAGCATGGATTGAGTCCGTGGAAGAAACTGCTGACGCCCCAAGCAGTTCCTCTTAAAGAGGAACTCACCTACTCAGACTCACTCCCTCTGAGCTCCAGCAGTGGAATAGCAGCTTGAAAGGCACCAGTGGTATACAGGGAGAAACTGAAGTGTCTGGCATCAAGGCAATGAGAGGCCATTGTATGAACCCTCCCCTGACAGAGGTGGCAAGTTGGTGCCATATCTGAGACTCCATCATCTGGCTAACACTGTTTGACCCTCCCTGTAGAGGCCTTGAGACTCTGCCCCACCCAATTTACAGGCCCACCCAAGCTGCTTTTCCCATATGAATGGCTGGTCTTGGCTCAGGCTTCAAAACTTCCTAAATACCATTGAATAAGCAACAGTTGGTATAGTGAGCCCCAGGCTCAGCACTAGCAGCAGCCAGCCTAGATTCACAGTTTGGCTTCACCTGGGAATCTCCAAGCCCAGTACAAGTAGCAGCTGTATTAGATTGCTTTATAGCTCAGGCAGGTCGTCCCCAGGTAAAACTCAGGTGGGGGCTGACCTTGGCCTGTACCATCCAGAAAACCCCAGAGCCTGCACACCCAGTGGGCAGCTACAGACCATATCAGAGCACAACCACCCTGCCCCCACACAGCATATCCTCCATGGAGGGCAGAGGGTGGTGGTCAGTGGTCACAGCCAGTCCTTGCAGCTGACTGGCTTGGTTAAATCCCTTCCATTGATCTGCTAACAGGAACCAAGTCTGAACTGCAGGAGGAGTTTGTACTAAGCCCATACAAAGGGTACACCTCCAGTACCCAGCTTGGGTGACTGCAGAGGCTGCGCCACTGGACCCTATAGGACACCTACTACATTGGGCCACACCACCAAGACAGAGTCAAAGCTGTTCTACATAATACATAAAAACAAACACAGGGAGGTTGCCAAAATGCGGAGACAAAGAAACAGGGCCACAATGAAAGCTCCAGAAGAAGAGCTAAATGAAATGGAAATAAGTAATATATCAGATGCAGAGCCCAAAACACTGGTCATAAGGATGCTCAAGGGACCTAGTGAGGACCTCAGCAGCGTAAAAAAGATCCAGTCGGAAACAAAGGGGTTCACTAATTGAAATAAAGAACAATTTACAGGGAAACAACAGTAGAGTGGTGGAGCTGAGAATCAAATCAATGATTTAGAACATAAGGAAGCAAAAAACAACCAATCAAAACAGCAAGAAGAAAAAGGAATCTGAAAAAATGAGGATAGTATAGGCAGTCTCTGGGGCAATTTCAAGAGGTCCAATATTCACATCATAGGGGTGCCAGAAGGAGAAGAGAAAGAGCAAGAAATTCTAACTCTATTTTTAGAAATAATGAAAGAAAACTTTCCCAATTTGGTGAAGGAAATAGACATGCAAGTCCAGGAAGCACAGAGAGTCCCAAACTGGATTGATGCAAAGAGGCCCACTCCAAGACACGTCATAATTACAATGCCAAAGGTTAAAAATAAAGAGAGAATCTTTTTTAAAACTATATTTTATTGATTATTGTGTTACAGTTGTCCCATTGTTGCCCTGGCTGGTGTAGCTCAGTGGATTGAGTGTGGGCCTGCAAACCAGAGGATTGAGGTTCAATTCTCAGTCAGGGCACATGCCTGGGTTGCAGGCCAGTTCCCAGTAGGGGACGCACAGGAGGCAACCATACATTGATGTTTCGCTCCCTCTCTCCTTCCCTTCCCCTCTAAAGCTAAATAAACAAAATCTCTAAAAAAATTTTTAACTTTGAAGGAATGATAATTTCTATGCTACTCTTTTGCAAATATTCTCATATAAAAATGTATAAATTGGGTTGTCTTTATTGCTGATTTGTAGTTCTTAATATATTATGAATATCCATATGCTAAGGTACAACCATGTAGTAGAATGTTTTTCAACTACTCAGTGGGTGTGAGCTTAGGCACTGTGGGTTTACATTTCTCCAAATATTTGAAAGAAGTCCATGGGAGAGGATGGGTTGGACACAAAGGAAGAAGCACTGCCAAGAGGCTGAAAGAGTGTCTCCTGGAGAAATTAACTTCTCTGGTTTTAGTCCTTCACTCCTACTCTTTCTACAGTTGGTTATGTGAGCCAGTACATTCCTCTTTTTGCCTCAGCTACTTCAATTTGTATTTGTTCCTTTTAACCAGAAGAGTACTAAAACAATGCTTATGAAAAATGATACTGTAAAATCCCAGGTGATATCTTGACTGCAACTTCTTGAGAGACTGCAAGCCAGAAGTGCCCAGGCAAACTGCTTTCAAATTCCTGATTCACAGAAACTATATGACAATAATGTTTATTGTTTTAAAAAATGATGTAGGCCCTGGTCAGGTAGCTTAGTTGGTTAGAGTGTTGCCCCCATATGTCATGGTTGCCAGTTTGATCCCCAGTCAGGGCACGTAGAAGAATCAACCAATGGATGCATAGATAAGTGGAATGATAAATGAAGTCTCTCACTCTTTCACTCTTCCCCCTTTCTCTCTCTAAAAAATTTACTGAAAGAAATTAAAGAGGACCTAAGTAAATGGAGAGATATGCAGTGTTCATGGATTGAAAGATTTTTTTTAAAAGACAATAGTACCGACAGCAATCTACAAATTCAATACAATCCTTATCAAAATTTTAATGGCTTTTTTTGAAGAAAGAGAAAAACCCATCTTAAAATTCATGTGGAATTTAAGGAATCTGAAGTAGCTGAAAATAGAAGAATGAAGTTGGAGGACTTACACATCTTAATTTTAATACTTACTACAAAGCCACAGTAGTCAACATCTTGTGTTACTAGCATAGAGCAGACATAGACCAATGGTGTAGAAGGGAGAGCCCAGAAATAAACCTTTGCATATATGGTCAATTGATTTTCATTGTTGTTCCAAAATTATTTAATGAGCAAAGGACAGTCTTTTCAATAAATGGTTTTGGGGAAATTGCAAAAGAATGAAGTTGGAGCCTTATACCAGATACAAAAACCAACTCAAAATAGATCAAAGTCTGTTTTGAATTGAGGGCTTTTAAGTTATAAATTCAATACTCTTAATAGCTATAGGTTTATTTGAATTACCTATTTCATATTAGGTGAACTGAAATTTTGTTCCTCAAGGAATTGGTTCACTTCATCTAAGTTGTCAAATTTATGTGTGTGGAGTCTTTCATATTATTCCCTAATTATCGTTTTGATTTCCGAAGGGTCTGTAGTTGTATCCCCTTTTCCATTCTTGATATAGGTAAACTATGTCTTCACATGCCAGTTAATTTTATGAAACTAGTATTATCCTGATATTAAAACCAGGAAAGTACATACAAAAAATTACAGGCCAATATTCCTCATGAATACATACACAAAAATCCTCAACAAAAATGAGCGATTAGAATTCAGCATATAAAAATAATTACTTATCATGGTCCTAATGGGATTTATTTCAGGGATGCAAAGGCTATTTCATATGTGAAAATCAATCAGTATAACCTAACATATTAATAGGTTAAAGAAGAAAAATCAAATGATCATAACAGTTGCTGTAGAAAA